ACAATTATCATCTTTACAATTGGCAAATGACAACGTCTAATGACAGTGTTTCAAGTTCTACTGTACTAGTGTTTCACAATACTGTTACTAATATTGAGAAATTCTCAACTAAACATAAATATTACCACAAATAATATTAGCCTTGGCAGTTGTGGATAGAGATAGCCTAACACTTGAGGACAGAATTTGCTACCCTTAGCATTCATTCATTCCTTACCCCTATTCTCCATATATTCTCCATTCACTGATCCTGTTTGCTGGAAACGGGATAAAACACGGAGAGACAGAAGACAAGAGATCTCAAAAGAGCTATGCTCTTTAAGTCAGAAGTTCTAACCCAGAGGCACCTAGGCCTCTAAAATCCTTTGACCGCTTACATTTCTAAAAGGAGTTCAACATAAAAATGACATGTGGTAATTTTACTAATATTTATGGCTCATATGCATGCAATTCCCACTTTCTATACTCACACGCTGTATAAGCATATCAAACACTGTAATTCAATTTGTTTAAATTCATATTTCTTTGAATGCAATGAGGTTTAGGAAGAAAAAGAGTTTAACCAAATTTTACATAATCACAAGACCTGGAGCTTGTCCTTTTATCTAACACAGGACTGACATTAATTACACATAATGTAAATAAAGAAGATAATATCAGAAAGTACATATTGATTTTATTTGGAGAAACTATAGTTCAAGGGGTCCTTGGTGCTCTCTGAGCTTGCTTGTTTTCTTGCAAAGGTTTCATTACCCTAACTAGGGAACATCATCAGTGCTAGTCAGACTAGTTTGTTAGGGTAATGAAATATTTGCAAGAAAACAAGCAAGCTAAAAGAGCACCAAGGACCCCTCATTTCAAGATATTCTCCTTATTGCTACAGTTTAAAGCTCTAATTTAAAACTGGATGTTTTGGTTTGAATTCGCTAGCTGGAAATGGGAATCAGATAATTCCTATCTCTACTTTATAGAAGAGATGCAAAAAAAATCATTTATATATTCCAAACATTTACATCATTAGATAAGCCAAATTCTTCTGTTTCTAAAAAAAACCCCATCACCCAAATTATATATCTGAGGTTTAAGCAGAACTATCCTTTTTGCTTTTGATTGGATTTCACTTTGTGTAGTTGCAGGTGCTCTCCAGGATCCTGAACAAGTGAATTCTACATTTTCTTTCTTTGGCAGTTTATGTTGTCTTCTTTTGCTTGAGGCATTTATCAAATTGGCAGAAGTCTGTTGATAATGTGACAAGCTATTCCCTTTTATGGATGATTAATCTATCAACAGCAGCTACTTTTGATAGTTATAGTCCTGATCTTATGAGCACAATTGAGCCCAAAATTTCTGTTGCCAAGTAAGACAGTTGTTAAATACAACATGCCCCATTTTATGATTTTTCTTTTGCTATGGTTCTTAAGCAAATCACTGAAATGTTTAAGTGAGTCATGCAATTTTGGTTTGCGAATCCGGTTTCCCCCATTGACTTTGCTTGTAGGAAACTCCCTAAGAATGTTGCAAATTACAATCCCAAGACCTAGGGACACTGCAACCTTCCTAAATACATGCCAGTTGCCAGGTACCCAAAGTTTGATCACATGACTGTGGGGATGCTGAAATGATCATAAGTGTGAAAACTGATCAATAGTCACTATGATCAGTGCTGTTGTAACATTGAACGGTCATTACACAAATGGTTGTAAGTCAAGGAGTACCTGTAATAACTCCTGAATCACACGTATATTAAATAGTAGCTGCACAACAGCAATAGTGGAAAAGAGCATCCCCTAGTCATCTTACGTAGTTCAAAAGGCCTCCTGCTGCTTTAAATAGTGTCTCGTTTCTTTATTTCATAGGATGCTTCAACAACCAATCTATAGGTTCCCTATATCTGTGTGAGATAGAATAAGTGTGAGAGAGTGCATGTGTATAAGGGTGAATGAACATGAGAGAAATTTCAAACTAATGGATTTGTAAACACTGCAAAAAAAATAATCAATTTAAAAATAATAAAACTTTTGTCTTTTGTTCAAATCCAGCCATTTAACTGCTAAGACTAGGTAAGCTTTTTTTAGCCTGTAAAAATCAAAAAAGATAAGTGCTGATGTGTTTTTCCCCAGAGATAAAGAACATGGATTTCAAGGATAACAAGAACCTGCTGCTCTCTAAGAATAGCTACAGCTGATCTCCAACAAATCTCTGCAATTTAGCAAGTAGTAGATTGCTGAGCTTCTGACCTGTCATTTTCATGTTAGATAATCAGAAAAAGTCTCCATAACAATTTTTGTGTGATAATTAAATATAAAGTAGTTTGGGTGCTGTAACCATAATTCTTCCTAGAGTAATTTCTAAACCAGGTCATATAAAGCTGATAAATTATTATTGCACATCAAGCTTTAGTTTAATAATACAAAGAAGTTCATTGGCTTACTGGCAATATCGTAAAAGTAACTGCACAAGTATTTTCATGTTCAAGGTTAGTTGTAAAAGCACTTCAATGTTAATTTTTGAGCCATTCTTATAATTTAGATTGATCTTTCATATTATCCACTACAATCAAGATTAAAATACATGAAAATGATATATGTATGAATGTAGTTTTGGCAGATTGGTGTTTTTCTCCAGTCCCAATAAGTCAAATAACTATTTAGAAAGGAAGAGAAATAATTTTACACTTTATAAGGCAAAAAAGAGATCATATCCCAAGATTTAAATATGTAAAATTTAAATTTTTCAACAGTAGTCAGTAGCTACTTGTATTTTGTTATTATTAAATGCAGAAATAATTTTTAAAAATTCTGACCTTATTATATCTTGTTTTAACTTCTCTGTGTGTATATGTGCACATATGCATCTGTGCATCCAAACACACATACATCCTTCAGATTAATGTTGACTCCTGGTGACTACCTGGGCATGTTCTTACTTTTTTTTTTTTGGCAAGATTTCAGCAGTGGTTTTGCCATCGCCTCCTTCCCAGATCTAAGAGAGAGTGATTGGCCCACAGTTTCCACTTATGATTTCCCAGTTTCTAACCTGATTCCTAAAAGACTACCCTAACCTGGCTGTTTCTTTGTATCTCACTCTTATTTTCTTATTCTAGTCTATTGTAATTTTCCTTTATTGTATTTATGTTACATCACTTTGTTATGATGCATGATAACAACAATAAACTTATTTACGTGGAATCCTTGGTGCTCTCTGAGCTTGGCTGTTTTCTTGCAGATGTTTCATTATTCATACTGTTGAGGTTGCCCAGTTTGGTAATGAAATGTCTGCAAGAAAACAACCAAGCTCAGAGAGCACCAAAGACCCCTCATTTCAACCCTGAGGTACAAATATTCTCTTTGATTGGTAATCTTATTTGTCCATTTACTATCCAATACTCTCATTTCTCCTTAAGTTCATCAAGAATTCCCTTCTTTTCATTGAATTTATCACAATACCTTGAGAACAAATTTCTCAGCATATCTTTACATCTATTTAAAATATATAGTAATTTAGGTGAGGTTTTCAGAACATTATTCTACTATTTATAAGTCACCAAGTGCAAAGAAACAGAATTCAGAAAGTTGCCTTCCCTTTTTCTGATTGTCTATTGCCTGCTTAATTTTCTACCTACATTTTTGATAACTGATATTCACTGTTGACCCAAGAAACCCACCATATAAAGAAACCCTCCCTATGAACTTTGTTGGGTTTCCATGGAAAGAAGTTTGATCTTTTTCACAACCATACAGTAGCACATTCTTTCTAAGGAGGATATAATCAAGATAATCTATAATTGCCTATCAATCTAACAGTATGGCGATTGACAATCTCTTTATATTTTAACTCTTAACTCTTTCAGTCTCAAAGAAGTATAGGCTATATAGTCATTTCTGGTTCCTAATTTTTAAATGCCCATGCCAACTTTTTATACCAGTCAGAAAGTTATTTTAATATTTTAGTTATTACCTTGTTTATTCACAGTTTCAGTTTCTAGGTTGTTTCCTGAAGTTGACATCTTCAAAAAGCAAATATAAATATTGACATGGCCAAAGGGAAGTGGTTGGTTTTTTGTGACTTCAAAATGAAGAATGGTTAAGCAGATGGCACTCAATATTTGTTTATTTTGAATTAGTACGGAACACCTTTCCCAGTCTGGTGCCTTTCAGATGTTTAAATTACTCTGTCCCTGGTGATGCTGGCAGGAATAATGATAATTGTAATCTCATACCTCTGAAGGACTCCAAATTGGGAAAATGAATTTAAAGAGAATGAACTCTCTCTTTCCTTGGAGAACACAAGCAAAGGATCTCACACAAAATGTGTATAAAGATGGTTGGTGACTTCAAATGTACTTTTTAAAGGTTTGGTGAGGAGAAATCCAAAAATCATTTTAAAGAGGAAAAAATGCTTGCACAGTTACACCCATGGAGACATGTATATATACATAATACACAGAGAAACAAACTTAACAAAGTTAAGTCTGCCCACCAACTGTCTTTGAGAAAAAGCTTCTGAGTAAGTGAATAATAAGGAGAAACAAAACCACTCTGGAGGGAATCAACCACTGAAACAAAACAGCTGGGTAAGTGGGACCTGGGGAACCATCCCTGGGCAAAAGGTCAAGTGTGCACTCTCTGCTGGTCTGAGCCAGCCTCTCCTTCATCCTTGGACTAGCAGCCTGCTCAGATAGTTGCACTGCAATCCAGTGGAGCAATTCCAACAACCAAGGAGTGTCTGAGAGGTTGGTCTAAATCCAGAGAAAAAGAGAAAGGTCCAGGTATTCTTGACCAGTTTCCAGTCTAGCATTTCTTTGGAGCAAAGTATCTGGGACCAAACTGGAATGGATTCCTTCTACCCTGTGGACAACCAGCAGATAGCAGAAGCTTGGTCTCCTGGTGCTTGTCTGGGGAGATGTTTCCATATGGATATAGGAGCCTAACCAAAAACCACCGGAAAGATCCTTTCACACATTCATGAACCCTCCCTGCCCCTTATTTCCCGGCACTCACCGATCCTGAACACTTGCTGGGAAGTCTGAAGGACACCCAGGCGAAGATAAAGGAGGAGAAACAAGAACCTCCTGCTGTCTTCCATGGCAGAGTCCATGGGCTCCTAGCAAAGGGCTCTCTCCGCTTTCTTCACACTCTGGCTGGGTGCATGCTTCAACCTCTCGGCCACATTTCTTCCTCCTGCTTAGGCATTCGCTGCTCGGACTCAGACTGGTCGACGGCCCCTCATATTTTCTTTTAGCGCTCTCTCTCTCTCTCTCTCTCTCTTTCTCCCTCTCTCTCTCGTGAGTCCGATGGGAAAGCTCCCGCTTTCGATCTGCCGCCCAACGACCGAACGGGGAAGCGAAGAGGCAGGAAAGACGAGTTCTCACGGCAAATCCGAGCAGCCGCTGCTGGGAGCCCGTCCCATGCCTTCTCCCGAGCCCCGCAACTCTTCTCTCAGTTACTTTCTGCCTCGTGGACCTAGAACTGATTGGATCGCTGCTGTCTCCGGGCTAGCTCTCCTCTCCGGCACGATTAAAGGAACCCGGTCAACTCGCAGCTGATCAGCTGGAGAAGAATGAATGAAGCCCCTCTGGTGACGTCAGCCCGCCTGGGAGCATCACACGCCGCGCGCACACATTCTCATACACATACATTACATTTATCGTCCTACTCCCAGCCATTTATCATCAAGCCTCTGTTAAAGCATAGCGTCTACTTAGGGATTCTGTTGCTGGGATTTAGGCTGAGATTTGCCCAAAGGAACATAACCCGGGACGATTTCAGAGGCGAAAACTCGGTTTTGAGCATCTTCAGGTTGAATTTCCGAGCCCCTGAGAATGGAAAGGCTGATTCCAGGAAACCGTGATAGTTATGGGGGATGGCGTAAAATAGGATCATATGACTGGGGTATAGGACCATTTACTGTTAGGGTACTTTAAAAATTCTAGGGGCATCTCTGTATCTCCACCCCCCCCCCCAAAGGAGAAATCTCAGTGGGAGAAGATTCCCTATCCCAATGGGATTCCCCTCCCCTAGAATGATTTTTTTATATCATAAAAGAATTCTTTTGTCAAATAATTACAACTTTGGGCTAATTGCTGAGGGTAGAAAAGTGAATGAAATTTCTGCACATCTCAAATGTGTTTTCCAATAAAGTATAAAAGAAAACATATTATACTATAATATAGGCATTTACCCAAAAAAAAATCTGAATTCAAGATCTAAACTGACAGTTAGTAGACCAGTACACCTAAAGACTATCTGAGAGACCGCCTCCTGCCAATAACCTCCCTGCGTCCCATCAGATCGCATAGAGCGGGCCTCCTCCGTATTCCATCCGCCAGTCAGTGCCGACTGGCGACCACCCGGAGGAGTGCCTTCTCAGTTGCTGCTCCGACGCTATGGAACAATCTCCCCGTGGAGATCCGTACCCTGACCACAGTCCAGGCCTTCCGCACAGCCCTCAAGACCTGGCTAGCCCGTCAGGCCTGGGGATAAATTTTTTTGCCCCTCCCGAATGCTGAGTGAATGTTGTGTTTTAGTACTTTTTGTTATCTCACATTTTTTTCCGTATTTTGTCTTTCACTCCCCTTCCCTCACTATTGTAAGCCACCCTGAGTCCCCTCAGGGAAAAGGGCGGCCTATAAATGTTAAATAAAATCTAAAAAAAAAAAGAGTCTACTGGATTCTAGCCCATCTTTTTGTGGATATTTTGGTAAATACTTATAAATAGGCAATTATGCTTTTCACTCAAACTGTTCACAGCATTCAAAACCATTATTACAACAAGCAGTGATACCATTCAGCATGTCAGTCTAGGCATCAATAATGAGTTTGATCAGGAGGAAACACCTGTAAGTCATTTTGTACTCAGAATGATTTTATTTGCTTGCTTAGTTTTTATTATGTGTTTAATCCACCTGTTAACAAGAATTACCTGAGGGGCCGGAAACTGAAAGATGTATCACATGTTCTCATTTGATTTGATCGGTAGAAATTGTATTAATGAAACAGCAATAATGTACATGTCTATCTCTATACATACACACATTCACACATACACACACACATACATACATACCACTACTATTCCAACACAAGAACATTTTTAAAAATGTGGGTGTCAAAGTAAATACATGTTGAAATGCTATAATAGTTTCTTAACCAGTCATTGATCACTTAGTATATACTAATTCACCTGCGTACCATTCCAATCTTTCTGTCTCTCTCTTTTCTGTTCTTTATCACATTTTGTACCACTTAAATATAGAAAACAATAAAAAGCAAGTATCAATCTAAAGTATTGAATACTTAAATGAATGCCATGTTTATTATCTTTCGGAAAACATATATACATACCTTTAAAATTACGCATGCAAGAATTTAATTTGCCATTTATAAAATATCCATTTCAGAATCAGACTTTCTCACAACTCTTGTGGACAAAGCAGAGAAACCCATACTGAGCTCAAATTATTCTTGCCAACTGCCTTTATGGTGCATCCATAGCTCCATAGCAGTGTTTCTCAACCTTGGCCCACCTGAAGATGTGTGGCCTTCAACTCCCAGAATCCTCCAGCCAGCTGGGGGATTCTGGGAGTTGAAGGCCACACATCTTCAGGTGGGCCAAGGTTGAGAAACACTGCTCTATAGTATAATCTGTGAAACAATCACTGCTGGCTGCTATTCTCTCACTGACGGTGAAGATTGTGAAGCTTTTTTTAAAAAAAATCTGTGTGCCTCAAAAGAAAATGAGTCTCATTTACAAAACTGGAAGGTAGAAGTCCAGATATATGAACTACACTTATCTCCTTATGCTAACATCAGGCTTTCTTTGGAGCAGGATAAAACACAAAAATGTGGTGTGTAGAAATGTTATGAAGCACCATTCTAGATTTTCTAAAACAGAATAAAAAGTTTGCCATGAGAGTAAATATTTCTTACAAATACCTTTCCCCCAAAAGGGAGGGGGAAAATATATAGGGATTGAGGTATAGAGCAGAAATAGAAAAAAAAAACTGGAGAAGTCATTGACCTTAGGGAAACATTAAAGCTTGGAGCATGGCTCCATAAGGAAGCTGTAGTTACATATTTTAAAAATCATTTATCAAGAACAGCTGAGAGAAAAGATTTCACTCAGTTCTAGTTACGTTTATAAAAATATGGTTTTAAGAAATGCTAATATCTTATTCCATTTCTTAAAGGCACAATGGCTTTCAATAAGCCATTTTATTTCTACATTTTAATCCTGACAGCTACATTATGAGTACCTGGGATAATGTTATGCATAAGCAGGGAGATTATCACTGAAGACCCAGTCCAGTTACAGACCTTCAGTGATCACAAAGGCATGGTGAAACCTTAATGACAATTGAAAATTTGTATTATAAAAAGGCAACATTGTCTTCAGAAATTTTGAATGAAACATTTATGATGCGGAGACACTGTCCACCAAAGGAACTCTTATGACTGTGAGGTATGTGCTGTATAATGTAGCTCTTTGTTCATTAAATTATCTCTGGTTTAGTTATAGGTTAACTTGATTGTGACTTCAGCTATTATGATTTCTAAAAATATTTGTTCCAGTATGCCATGTGGACCACATCATTTACAGCTGTCTGGGGAAAAAAAGCAATATTAAAGCTAATCATACATAGCACATGGTGTCATGACTTTTGATATTATGGGGAATAATTTTCCATATTCAGTGAATATTCTAGAAATTGAATAGCAAGAAATGTAGATTAGCTAGGGAAGCATAAGTTCAGAGAAGAAAATGAACAATATTGTCAATATTTTAAAGCATAGTTTTATGACAAAATCACAATGTCTTGTATGCAAATAATACTAATAATTGCTTACTTTCACATGATAAGCAAACCTCCAGTCAGCATTCTGTGCCTTGATTTGAGGAGCTAATTGATAAGTTTATAAATTTGCACTAAGAATGTCTTTACATGCCCTCTCTATTGCCCCTTTCAGTCTCTTTTAGTGTTCATTTTGCTTTTATTTATAGTTTATTGTTTATTATTTCAATTGTGTTATATTAATAATTATTTTCGCATCTTATTGTTGCCTAGTGGCTTTTGGAGAATTCTCATTGCTTTCATTGGAGAAGCTTATGGATTTTATTATATCCCAGATTATTTTAATAATTAAACTTAGAGACAATACATTTGGCAGCATAGAAAACATTGTTTATAATAATACTCTCCATTAGCAGAAAATCTTTTAATTTTTACATTTTCTTCTGCATTTTTTCTTGGGTTGCTTTGCATCATCTAGCCAAGTGGGGCATGTGGTCCTTAGGAATACAAGTAGCCATTCTATAGTTTGCCATTCAAATCATGTCAGATCTTGGTTTAGGCTTGTAGTCATCTTTTTAACTACCATATTTGTGTAATAATCCTTCTGCAATTCATCTTTCGGCTTGTGATAAACAAGGTATAAAAGAATCTGTATCCTAAGCTTATTCAACTATAATGAATTTCTATTGACATTCTTCAATCTGAGACCTGCAGATATATTGGACTACAATCTCCATCACTCCCAAACTACATTGTGCCATAGGAGAGAAAATGCCTTGGGCAGCTATCAAAGCAATTACCATGAAATCGTTGGTGTTTTTGCTTAAGCTACAACTGCCTAAAAGATAAATGGGAGGTAAGGAGAGTAATTGGGATGGTTGAGACAAAGATCTGCCTCTATGTGAATCACTAGTTACTGCCATATTCCCTTGCCCACACACATACACACACTGCAATTGCTCATTAGAGCCTTACATTGTCAAGAGCAGTGGCAAGGACCTTAACATAATACTTGCTTCAGCTACCATAAACATACTGACAAAGTTCAAGCAACTCACTGTAAGCCAGTTAAAAACCCAGCAGATAAAGACTTAGCATCTACACACATGCTATCTTTTGTTGAAGTGGGGTGGGACAGGGGGGGGGGTGCTGTGTATTAAGCATGTTATGTGATTAATTAGAGTACAATGGAAAATATTGTATTGAACACTTAGATTTTTCAGTAACCAGATTAATTATATAACAATAAAGCTAATAAGCATTTCAAGTCTGATTCCGCTCGGTAGCTGGTCTCTCTACGTAGAAATGAAATGAAAATAGTTGAGGAATGGAGAAACTAGAATGTAAAAACCAAAATATTGCATAAATGTCACCACTTCCTTGTTTAAGTGACTCATTTTTTTATGTTAGCTTCATTTTTCAATAACTAGGGTTGGGTCTTATATGGCAATACAGTCACACAGGGATGTGTTCCATTTCCTTCCCTTCCCTGTCCCTTCCCTGTCCCTTTCCTGTCCCTTCCTTTCTTTTCCTTTCCCTTCCATTCCATTCCCTTCTCTTTCCCTTTCACCTTTCCTTCCCTTTCCCTTTCCTTCCCTATGGGGCAATTTTAATGGCCTCTTGTTCATTATT